AAGAGCCCAAATCTGTCTAGATAAAGAACATGTGGACAAAACATGTTCAATAGATTCTCCTTCAAAACCACATGTTTGGCATCTAGGATCCGTCTTCATACCTCTCTTCGCTAGTTTATCAGCCACAGGTAGGGCACCACTTAGTACTTTCCAAAGAAAGACTTTGATCTTTGGATCTGTATTCAATTTCCAAACCTGTTCTTTCAAAGGATTAATTGAAGGAAGGAAAGAAGCATGTTGCATCACTTCAGTTTTGTTGTTCTCGACAGCTAACCAATAAGCTGACTTCACCGAGAGGAAGCCGCTTTTGTTATATCTCCAAATCCAAAAATCTTGAGAGTCAACCACAGGTTTAACCTTTCTAATAATGGCAACATCATCAGGGAAAAACAGTTCCTCTAACTTGTCAATGTCCCAATCTTTCCTTTCAAAATCTATGAGCTCACTCACTTTAAGGCCCGGATCAATAAAAAGATTTCTAATCCAAGGAGCTCTTAGACCATCCTCATCAACCATCCACCTATCCACCCAAACCGTCAAGGAAGCACCATTTCCAACCCTTTTCTGCAGACCTTTGTTAAGCAAATCCCTGCCATGGAGAATGCTTCTCCAACCAAAAGAAGGACGCTGTCCTAAACACGCATCAAGGAAATGGCCATCAGGAAAATACCTGTTTTTCATCACTCTTGAGAACAAACAATCTGGGAAATGCAAGATTCTCCACGCCTGTTTTGCCAGCAAGGCTTGGTTAAAGAGCTGAATGTCCTTGAAACCCAAACCACCTTTATCTTTTGGTAAGCACAGCTTTTCCCAACTTATCCAATGAATTTTCCTATTATGTTCAAGAGAACTCCACCAGAATTCTGCCATTGCACTCGAGAGATTTGAGCAAGAAGTCTTTGGTAATCTAAAACAAGACATCGCAAACACAGGCATGGCTAAGGCAACCGATTTCAACAAAATCTCTTTGCCTCCTTGAGACAGAAACTTAGAGTACCAACCAGAAAGCTTAGACTTGAGGCGATCTTTGATATAATCTAACATTTCCACTTTTGAGCCACTAAAACACTCTGGTAGACCTAAGTAAGTCCCTGCTCCCCCCACATTTTGGATACCAAGAGATTCCTGAATGCAAAGCTTAATGTTTTCAGTTACCTTAGATCCAAAAGTAATCGAAGACTTTGTGTGATTGATAGTTTGCCCTGTAGCAGCTCCATAAACCTCCAAAATCTTCTTCAACACCAAGCACTGATCTTGATTAGCCTTACAAAGAAAAAGGCTATCATCGGCAAAAAGTAGATGTGTAATGGATGGACCTCCTTCATTGAACTGAATACCACTAATCAGACCATTTCTTTGAACAACATTCAACAGGTAAGACAGACCTTCAGTGCATAATACAAAAAGAAAGGAGGATAAGGGATCCCCTTGTCTAAGCCCTCTTTGGGGAACCACCATACCAAAGGGTTGGTCATTTATTAAAACTGAGTAAGTCACAGACGATACACAAAACATTACCCAGTTAATCCATCTTTCATGAAAACCCAAAGCAGCCAGCAAAGATCTCAAGTAACACCACTCCACTCGGTCATAAGCTTTTGACATATCGGACTTTACTGCCATAAACTCAGCAGAAATAGCCGAATGAGCATTTAAACCATGAACTAATTCATGAGCAACCAAAATATTATCAGAAATGAGTCTTTCAGAAACAAAAGCAGTTTGTGACTCAGAAACCAAACAAGGAAGAAACGGTTGCAGCCTCTTAACCATCACTTTGGAGATAATCTTGTATAATACCGAGCACAGGCTGATCGGTCTGAGATCACTCATTTCAGTCGGATGAGGGATTTTTGGTAAAAGACAAAGATGAGTATAGTTCCACTCCGATGGAAAAACTCCAGAAACAAAAAACTGTCTAACCTCACAGCACACCTGCTTCCCAACAGTATACCAGTAGTGTTGGAAAAACAAAGAAGACATACCATCAGCCCCCGGGGCGCTTGAAGGTTTAATGGAGAAAACTGCTGCCTTAATTTCTTCATCAGAGACTTCTTTTACCAGACTGTTGTTCATTTCTTCAGTGACACGAGGTTGAAACCCAAAAAACCAACTGGAGAAGCTGGCAGGATTAGAAGAAGAGAAAAGCTTCTGAAAATAAGCACATGCTACTTCACCTTTAGCAGCTTCCGACTTTTGGAGATTACCATTAATATCCACTAGCTTTTCAATTCTCTTCTTTGCTCTGTTTCCTTTGACTGTTGCATGGAAAAACTTAGTGTTTCTTTCACCACATCTCATCCATTTCGCTCTACTCTTCTGATTCCAGAAAATTTCCTCTTCTTTGTAAGCGAAAGACAGTTCTTTTTTCAGAAAATGAACATGATTCAAGGTAGGAAGAGAGGAAGACTGTTCTATCTCAAGAGCCTTTTCCATCTGTTGGATCTTATCATTAGCATTGGTGCAGTTAGTCTTCTTCCAAGCACTTAAGGCCTTCCTAACAGCCCTCAATCTATCAGCCACAGAAGCTAAAGATATAGGGGAATCAGGTCTCCATGCACGGATCACAGCTTCTTCAACCTTTGGTTTATACAGAAACCTCTTGTCAAATCTGAATTGTCCCCTATAAGTATCCTGCGAAGAAAGCAACTTCAACAACACAGGCCTATGGTCAGATCCTCTGAAATCCAAAAAGGTTTGGTTTGACACTGGAAATTGAGCAAACCAATTTTTATTACCAAAAACTCTGTCAAGCCTACTCTGAATCCATAAATCATATCTTTTTCCAGCCCAAGTAAAACTGTTTCCTTGACTGGGTAACTCCTCCATGTTACACGCTCTTAGCATCTCAGAGAAAGGCTTAAAGTAAGAGTCACACCTCCTAGGGCCACCAAGCTTTTCACCATTGTGAAGAATATCATTAAAATCCCCCAACATACACCAACCGTCTCTTCTTCCAACCCCTATTCTACTAAGTCTTTCCCACACCAATTGTCTTTTCTTAAAATACTACCTATCCCAAGTTGCATTTGTTTATATATCTTTTAAATCACTAACAACTACAGTTTGAATATATGCATTGCTAAATGCTAACAATCATTTCTTTTACGAATTGATCATTTCTCTTGGTTGTTGATTGAGCTTATTACATAATTCATTCTTGATAACATATATATTAAAATTAAACTAACTAATCTACACAATCTATATAGTCATTGTAAACTATGAGGGGATGGTGGATCACAACTGTACATGTGGTTCCACACGAACGAAAAATGAAAGGAGAAATTAAGTAATAATTTATTACAGCAATAAGTGAGTAATGTGATGATGATAACGATAATCAAATGCCGAATAATAAAATCCTACGAATAATGAAGAGCTTCTGACGTATCACACATACCCAAATTCTCTTACAACCAAAGACCAAAATAATTTAAAAAGCAAAAGCACTGACTCCACCCTGGCTCACTAAACCAATTACATCCACAAAGCATAACCCAAAACCATCGAGACTCCGACCAAAACGTAACTCATCACTCCCTTTGACGCACCACTTGGCTTTGGTGGAGGAGGAGAAGTTGACCCTGAATCAGGTGTGGGTGTGGTGGGTGATCCGCCAGCCGGAGGTGAGTCCGGTGTGGTAGGAGTTCCCGGAGTTGTAGACGGTGGCGTGGGAGTTCCCGGAGTTGAAGACGGGGGCGTGGGAGTGGCCGGAGGTCCGGCAGAGGCGGCTAAGACAGTAGCGGCTAGCTTCATGCCATTGGCACAATGACCAGGTGTAGGACAGATGAAATACTTTAGGAATGGTTCTCAGTCGAGGAGGAGGCGTCGCAGCCATCATATCCGGCTTTGTCAACCTCATCCACCGAGTGTGATCGACCATACTTGAACTCTGTTTCAAATCGCCATAAAAAGAATTCAAAACCTAAGTAAATAGTTATGCCATACCTAAGAAGATTATGGGACAATAGTCCGAAATTATTTGGTTACTAAAAATGAGTTTTGTTGTAGAATAAGTTATCTCAATTTCAACATCGTATAAATTTGTAAAGAACTAAAACAAGTAAAGAATTGTTTCTTGTCTTCTTCTTTTTTTTTTAACTGTTTCTATATTTAAGAACCTGAGACCAAATAAACAAAAAAAATCACACATATTTTCCTTTTTTTTTTGGTATTACTAAAGCAAACTTAATATAATTTGAATCACCAAAACCAATACCGTGTCAAACTACACTTGGGTTCGACTACGTTACTACAACTTTTGAACTATAGCTTGAATGAATCTATATATAAATAAAAGTTATAACTAATGTGGTTCGGATGATGGTTTACCTAGAATGTCACCAACCCTGAAAGTCTTTCCGGCAACCCAAACTGTGTAGTCCACACCACTGTCCCATTGTTGACCGTCTCCCACCGTGTAAGTCACAGCTACTGTGGCCGGGACAATGGTCAGGACTAGGAGAAGAGCAGTTGCGGCGGCTGCAGCCATCTTGGACAAACCATTCATTGCCATTTTTTTACTTAGAAGAGAGATATTATTATTGTTAAGGTTGTGCAGAGAAGAAATGGTTATGGTGTCATTATATAACAAAGAGATGTGAGAAGGACTTTGGGAATTAAGTAAATGGAATGTATGAAAAAGTCGCCGCCTCGCCAACTCATTCAACAACTTCATCCTCACTTTTTATTTTTCGTTTTAATTTTTTATTCATTTCTTTTGTTTTAATACGTTGTCATGATGCGTAACAACTCTTTGTTCTTATACATTTAAACTAAAAAAAATGGATAATTAATCGTATAGCTCGATGGCTTTCTTTGATGTAAATTATATAAACCCATCACCCTTATGAGTTATGCGTGGATTCTTCTTATTTGGTTTTTTTACCGAAAAGTGTGCTGAGAACATGGGTTTGTTAATATGACTATATAGTGTAAGTATGATCCAAATAATGTATATGATCATATGTATTTATTACTCCCTCTGTTTTTTTTAAGTTGTCGTTTTAACTGTATTTGGACAAATTAAGAAAAGGTATAC